AATTTTTCATGCAATTAAACCCTAAATGAATAGGCAAAATTTAGGTGTCAACACAAGGTTTATGAATCATGTGAATTAACATCATCTTAAACTATTAATTATGCGGTTCTTACTGTGGGACGGACCCGCATGATCAGCGATACAAATGAATTTTGATTTTGTATACAACAATTTTTACATTGTACTTCCATAAACGGGTGCGGAAGCAATCCAAAAAGATTGTGGTGGCTTGTATGCTTGGACGACGACTGCCACGTACCAATTGGGATTTGTTGCACAGAATGTGCTCTCTGTTGTTACAGAGAATGTGCTCTCAAATGTAGAAGAACAAGAGAAGATTGATCTGGAAATGCACTTTTTACATTCTCAAAAACGAGAAGAGTACATAGCTCTTTTAAAAACAACGAAAACTGAATTGCACTAACTTAGTAACTGACAAAAACCACTACACCACTAACTAGCAACAAAATAGGAACTGAAAACAACAAACTCCTACTATCTTGTTGACTAAGTAAAACCAAAAACAACCAGCTAACAGACCAGAACAAAAATGACCGAAAATGGTCCTTAAGACATAACCAACATACTCCTCTTTGGCTTAAGGAGCAGAACACATTCCAGCCTTCTTCTTAGTAACTCAAGTCTGCTTGCTTGCAGTGGCTTAGTAAACACATCAGCCACCTGATCTTCTGTCTTGCAATAGAGTAGCTTCACTTCACCTTCTTGTTGCACTTCCCTCATATAGTAGAACTTGATCTTGAAATGCTTGGTTCTCCCGTGAAAGACAGGGTTTTGAGATATGGCTAGTGCAGCTTCATTGTCCACAAGTATCTCGGTTGGTCCTTCAACTTCCATTTCCGGATCCCGCATCGCTTTCTCACCATATTGCATGATTGGTCGCTGCAATGAGCTGCTAGAAACTCGCCTTGCGATGGGTGAGCAACCACTTCTTGTTTCTTTGAGCTCCGGGTGAAACATCCAGGATCCCGAAGTAAAACAAAAACCACTTGTACTCCTCATATCCTCGATCGAACCAGCCCAATCACGTCAAAGAAAGCCTTGCAACCCGCAATTGTCCACTTTAGTAAACTTGACACCAAATGACCGAGTGCCTTTCAAGTATCTAATCACTCTTTTGCAGCTACCAAGTGTTCTTCACCAAGACAACTTAGGAATCTTGAAAGCACACCTACTCGCATACGGATATCTGGTCTTGTTGCAGTTAGATACATCAAGCAACCGACTAAACTTCTGTAAAAACCTTCATCAGCAGGCTCAGCTCCTTTAGTCTTCTGCAGCTTCTCCTTTAGATTCATAGGAGTGTTCACACTTCTACATTCCTCCATCTCAAACCTCTTTAAGATCTCTCTTAGACATCTTCTTTGACAGATGAATACCTCGCCTTTCCTCTGCTGTACCTCCATTCCCAAAAAGAAGGACATTAGTCCAAGATCAGTCATTTCAAACTGCTTCATCAGCCCTCTCTTTAGTTCTGCAATCTGCTCTTCACAATCACCAGTAACCAAAAGATCATCAACATAAAGAGAGACAATAGTTACACCTTCCACACCTTTCTTCACATATAGAGTCACTTCACTCAAACTTTTTTTAAACCCAAGTTCTTGCAGATGCTTATCAATTTTACTATACCAGGCTCTTGGAGCCTGCTTCAAGCCATACAAGGCTTTCCTCAACTTGTACACGTAATCTTCCTTGCCTCTAACTACAAAGCCATCAGTGCTCAACATATATCTCCTCCACTAGCTCTCCATTCGGGAAGGTGACTTCACATCCAGTGAAATACTTGCCGCCTTTTGTGCAATAACACTAGCGACATTCTTATGGTATCCAACCTTGCCACTTGGAGCAAAGGTTTCAGAGTAGTCTACCCCCCATACTTGCGCATAGCCTTTGACAACAAATCTTGCTTTGTACTTATGTATTGAACCATCAGGATTCAACTTTGTCCTGAATACCCACTTCATTCCAATCACCGTTCTGCTTCTAGGCCTCTCAACTAGATCCCATGTCTGGTTTTTTTCAATCATTTTGATTTCTTCTTCCATTGCAGCACACCATTTCACATCTTCACTTGCTTCCTTATAGCTAGCTGGTTCAAGCATAGCGTATTGCATCTCTCATAGATTTCAAGAAGAGATCTAGTGCCTCTCAGGAACATGATCAATTAGATCCTCGACTTCCACTTCATTTGGTTCAACTCGCAATGGCACTACCTCCTCTTCAGCCTTGCCACCTTCCACAGACCAGTCCCACTTCTTATCTTCCATAAAACTCACATCTCTACACACCACAACCTGGTTGCTAGCAGGATGATAAACTCTATAAGCCTTAGATTGCAAACTATACCCCACAAAGATACATGCTTTTCCTCTTGGATCAAGCTTATCTCTCTTAACAGAAGGAACCAGTGAATAGCAAATGCAGCCAAACACTTTCAGGTTACTCACCTTAGGCTTATATCCATGCCATGCTTCAAATGGTGTCTGTTTGTTGAGAGCTTTAGTGGGCAGTCTGTTCAGAAGGAAGACTGCAGTGTTGGCAGCCTCAGCCCAGAACTTCTTAGGGAGTTCTTTCTTGTGTAGCATGCATCTGGCCATCTCCATGATACTTCTGTTCTTCCTTTCACTCACTCCATTTTGCTGTGGAGTGTATGGCACAGTGAGCTGGTGCTTGAGCCCTGCATCATCACATATAGCCTTGAAACTGCCTGAGGTGTATTCTCCTCCATTGTCTGACCTAATTGTCTTGCTATTACAGCCACTCTCCTTCTCTACTTCTCTTTTGAACCTCAAAAAAATCTCATTAACTTCAGCCTTATTCTTCATGAAGTACACCCAACACATTCTAGTGCAGTCATCTATGAAAGTGATGAGGTATTTGCTTTGCCGTTCGGTGATTCTTCGGCATTGGACCACACACATCGTGTGGATTAGTTGCAGACTTTTCACCGGCCCTCCAATTTGACCTCTTGAAAGGAATCCTCACTTGCTTGCCTTGTAAACATGCTCTCTGACCCCATTACTTCCTTACGCAACATAGGTAGCCCCACTTGCCATTTCATTTTTCTGCAAGTATTGCAGCCCCTTGCTATGGAAACGACCCAGTCTTCTATGCCATAACTCCTCCTCATCTTGTATACTTTTCATGGCTTCAAAATTCTCATCAACTGGATCAAATGTAAAACACTTGTTCCTCATAGGAATCCTGAAAAGGATGTAACCATTCTCATCTCCTATGGCACACTCACTCTTCTCAAACACGACCTTCAACCCCTTCTCTACTAACTGACCCACACTCAGCAGGTTTTGATCTATCTTTGGCACAAACATAACCTCTGTGATAAGCTTAACACCACCAGGACCTTCAAGCACTACATCACCTTTGCCTTCTACTTCTATGCGTTCTCCATTGCCAATCCTGACTTTAGACTTCACAGATTTGTCTAAATTGCTAAATAATCCTTCATTACCTGTCATATGATTGGTGCATCCACTGTCCACGAGCCATCCATCTCTAGATGCATTTGAGATGAAGCAGGAGGCAACAAACAGGTGCTCCACTTCACTGGCTACTGCAGTTTGACCTTCAGCTTGCTGTTGCTGATGCTTCTCCCTGCAAATGGCCTCAACATGGCCCATCTTGTGACACCTCCTGCACTTCACATCTGGTCTCTTCCAACACTTGAAATGAGGATGATTTTTCTTCCCGCAATGCTTGCATGGAACTGTATTCCACTTCCTGTCATATCCACCACTGCTTGAACCTCCCTGACTATGACTATGATTGGCCTCAACATGTCTTCTATTTTGGTTCCATCCTCTTCCCTTTTCTGCACTATGCAGCTTCAGCTTGGCTTGCAGAGCACTTTCGATAGGCTCATTTTTCCTCATAAGCCTTCTTTGCTCCTGAGCCTGTAGAGTACTTAGGACTTTAGCAAGTTTGATGTCTGAAATGTCCTTAGTGTTCTCAAGGGAAGCAATGGTTGCTTCAAACCTTTCAGGCACTGCAACCAAAACCTTCTGAACCAGCCTTTTATCATCTACATCTGTCCATAGCACCCTTATCTTATTGGCTATATCAACTAGCCTATCAACAAACTCTTTCACGTACTCATTCTCCTTCATCTGTCGCCTTTCAAACTCCCTTAACAAGTTCAGCACCTTCATTCCTTTCACTCTCTCATCCCCTTCATATTCTTCCTTTAAATAATTCCATATATCATGTGCTGAATCTTTTTTCATGATTCTAGTAAATATGGTCGAGGAGACAGCAGAAAACAAGCAAGATTTTGCCTTTGCTTTTCGGGTTACCCTCTCTTTATGGTACCTGATTTGATTGATAGTTGGGTTGTTGGGTAGATCAGCAACCTCGTAGTCCTCTTCCACAGCTTCCCATAGGTCTGCACCCTCCATGAAAGCTTGCATCTTCACTGCCCATGCCTGGTAGTTGTCTCCATCGAAGATTGGAGCTGTGATGGTTGAGAATGAGGCAACAGGTACACCAGTTTGTTCCATCTTTCTTGCTCTACTTCGAATTTAGCACTTTCTCACAAGTCCCTTAAGATCAATAATGCTCTGATACTATTTTTGTTGCACAGAATGTGCTCTTTGTTGTTACAGAGAATATGCTCTCAAATGTAGAAGAACAAGAGAAGATTGATATGGAAATGCACTTTTTACATTCTCAAAAACGAGAAGAGTACATAGGTCTTTTTAAAACAACGAAAACTGAATTGCACTAACTTAGTAACTGACAAAAACCACTACACCACTAACTAGCAACAAAATAGGAACTGAAAACAACAAACTCCTACTATCTTGTTGACTAAGTAAAACCAAAAAACAACCAGCTAACAGACCAGAACAAAAATGACCGAAAATGGTCCTTAAGACATAACCAACAGGATTGGGGTTTCATTGTGAATTCAGGACATGGAAACAATCATTCGTCTAATAATTTTTGTACTCAAACGATTCTGAGGAGTTTTAAATGTATACTTTATTGCTTTGTGCCAAATCCACCCGCACATTAATAAACCATTTTATATAGGCCGACGGTACATAATGGGGCAAGTACTAAGAGAAAGAAAAAAGCATCGCCGTAATTAGTAACGGATTGATCACATCGCATCCGCATATGATGATATTGGCAACGAATCAGGATTTAAGTTCGAGCTGGGCGTAAGATTGATAAACGGCAAGCATCATGGAGGGCACATAAATGACGAGGGCCAAGCCGTCGATGCCAACCAAGCTCCCTGCGGCCTGAATTGTGTCGCTCGCCTGGCAACCGAGTTTTCCGAGGAGCACGCGGACCACGTCGACCATCGACAGCGTCAAGTAGACGCACCCAAGGATCGACCCCAACGTTGACAACAAGATCATCATGCTTCTTAGTGGCCCCACCCAATCGAAGCTCTTGAGGCAGTAGGGGCCAAGCGCGAGGTACATGGAGAGGTGCATCTTGAGGGCCGTGGCGACGAGGCTCGAGAGGAGGAAGCATGCGAAGGACACGACCTTGTTGACCAGCAGCGTCATCGTCGTATGACGGTCGGCTTGGCAGTATGTCCACGTCTCGAGGCTTTGTGGGTTGACGCTCACGAAGGATATCCCGACGAACACCGCGAAGGTGAAGAGGGAGTTCACGCTCACCAGATCGTCCAGCACCTTTTGATGATGCTTTATTGTCTTCTTTAGGTCGTCGTACCTACCACAACAAATCCATGACATAATAATTCAGATATTAATTGAACAATTGACAGGGTACCAAATCAACTTCTTCACAGGATTGCACGCATGCAGATAATCACACGTAAGTATTATTGCATGGGAATTGAGAGAGAGAGAGAGAGAGAGAGAGAGAGAGAGAGAGAGAGAGAGAGAGAGAGAGAGGACTTCTTTTGCACAGCTTGACTCGTCGACATGATTTAACGATTTCAATGGGATTAAGGGATGGATGGAGGAGGCAGAAAGGTTTTGAACTTGTAATATAGCTGGTGCGACCGTGAGATATTCCCTGCCTGAGGTTACAAGCGAGAATAATGAGAAAAAAGGGGAAAACGAGATGAAATGACTGAATCCTATTCTGCTGCTTTGGCTGTGTAAGACATATTGGGTGGACCGCCCAAGATGGGCCAAACCCGGCCCGTGAGTCACAAGGGCCCATGAGGCAGTTATTTGTCTATCTATAATAGAAGGCACCCCTTGGAAAACAGACGTGATTTTCCATATATGCAAACACACTCTTTTGATACAAAAGTATTCTCTGCTTTTGCTTCGGAACGCACGCGAGTACGAAAAACATTCGAAGAACTCTCAAGCGCAAAATGGCACTTAATCTGTGACAATACCGGGTATGTTCGTTGTGTGATATACCTGTACGATCGGTGATACAAGTTGATGGTCCTCGGGCACGTTTTCCGCATTGATCGAATTCGTTCCGAATATGTTTCGAACGCAATGATCGGGGATTGAGTTTTCCTAACATTGGTATCAGAGCCCGTTTACTTTTTTCCCGATCATGCATATGTATCGTCTGAAGTGTATACTGCTTGTTTTTTCGTTTTGGCCTCGTTTTTGTTCGTTTTCGTCGCGTCGCCGAACTGTTCATGCATGTTTCGATTTTTGTTTTTCGTCAAAACTTGAATTTTATTGTATAAACAGAAAGGGCTCGTCGAGACGAGCAAAATGATGGGCGGCGCGTCGCCGGAGGACGCCGCACGCGCCCTCACGCGCCGGCAAGGGCCGTGCGTGCGACGGCGCGTGCGTACCACGCGCGGCCGTGCGAAACGGCGCGTCGGTCGCCGCTAACCGCCGATGATGACGTCATCGTGACGTCATCAGGAGCGGACCCATTGACCCGACCCGGTTGACCGTTGACCCGACCCATTGACCCAACCCGGTTGACCGTTGACCGGTCAACGGTCGGACCGGTCAAACCGGTCGAACCGGACCGGTTCAAACTGGCAGAATGACCCAGTTATTTCTTTCAGCCCGTTCGAGCTCATTTGAACTCCGATTTGGGCGTTCTTGGTATCGACGTGCTCGTATCGGAATGCTCTACGTTATAATGTATACATATTACATTTTTGCTGCACTTATGAATGTGAAAATGCACGATAAACCCTATGTACACGTACTTAGGGGTATATTATTTGGCATTTTCTCTAGTATTTCTCTATAGTTTTTTGAAATACAAGTGATAGATCATATGTATATGAATAAGCATTCCTTATCTTAATGTATCATGGATTATAAGTAATCCTTCATTCTGCATTCGTTGCAGGAACAATGATACATTTGAAACGCACTCCGATAATCCCCAGAACGGCAGCTCTAAAGGAGAAGCTTGAGAACTTAAGAGTCAAGCTAGCTCTTTATTGATGGGACGCTAAAGATGATATGATGACACACATCATCAAGGTCAACAAAATGATACAGGATATCATTTGGAACGGTTTTGTAATGCCGGAATATGTAATGGTCGGAGCCCTAAAATGCACTATTCCTGAGGAGTTGGGAAGAATGCTTGATGAGGTTAGAGAAACCTTAAAGGGTCCAAGCTATAAGATGCTTATGGAGAATTTTCTGCAACAATACATAAGGGTCGGGGCAAGGAGAACATCAACCCTTGCATTGAATGGGTCTCGGCGCAAATCATGGCCCGGATCTAGGGGTTTTCCGGGAGCCTCTGTTTATGTTCCGAAGAAAATAAAACTTTCTAAAGAATTTTATGAGTCCTTTCCTGTCTATGTGTTGGATTGGTATACTTGATGTTGTTCTTTTAGGATTTGGAACCAATTCTGTACATGTTTCTAGTTGATATTACATATTCTTAAACATTTGTGAATGTGTTATGATATATATATATATATATATATATATAGCTATGAATTTTTGGTGATTTCTCATTTTATATTGCCATATTATGTGTTATGTTTTATGTGGGAAGTTCTTCAAAGTTTGTATAACTTTTGAAGAACCAATTTCATTACATAAATGATTATGTTAATGGTAATTTCAAATTAGGTTTTTTAGACGATGATTGGGAACATTGTGAACTTTCGACTCTAAGACCTTTTGTGAAACTATTCATTAATATGATTAGTTTATGTAATCATGATGCTGATGAAGCATTTAGATAGGCTTTAATAATTCGTGCGTATGTGTCTGAAATGTTCAGATACGATGGCTTCAGCAACTAAGAACATAGTGGCTGAACTTAATAAGGGAGAAAAATTGAATGGCGACAATTATGAGATTTGGAGTCTCAAGATTCAATATGTGCTGGAAGAGCAAGAGGCACTCGAAGCTCTTAACCAGATTATGGAAGAACCTGAGGATGGGACAACTGCCCAACACAAGAGGGACAAAGATGCCTTTGCTGTTTGGAAAAGAAAGAACTCTCTTGCTCGCATTACGTTGCTAAGCAGCATGGACAATGACATCATGCGAGAGTTCGGACGTTTCCAGAGCGCCAAAGACATGTGGGCTGCACTGGCATCAAGATTTGGTCGAACTTCTGTGACCAAACTGAGACAACTCACTATCCGTTTCGACTCATACAAGATGTCTCATGGAAAAACCATGAAACAACATTTGAGACAGATGTCGAATATGATTAGTGAGCTAAAAGATGCCGGGCACATACTCACTGATGAACAGCAGGTGCAGGCAGTAATCCGCTCCTTGCCTCAAAGCTGGGAGCACATGAAGATCCATTTGACCCACAATGAGGGTATCAAGACCTTCGAGGATGCTATCCGGCATCTTGAGCTGGAAGAGGATCGCCTCATGGCAGCTAAGCCAGAAACTGATATTTACTTTGCCGGTTCTAGCTCGCATGGAGTTTCGGGCTCCAAGAGGAAGCACCCTGCTGGGTCAAAGAAGTGGAAAAGCAAAGGGCCAAGTCCTTCAGGGAAGAAGCCGAGGCTCAACCAACGGGAGAAAGGAAAGCGTCCTTTCAAGAAGAACATTTCAAGAGTGAAATGTTTCAACTGTGGCAAGAAGGGTCACTTTGCTCGCGACTGTGGCGAGCCAAAGAAGGTATAAACCCTTAGCATTCATGAAAATGCTACTTATGTGTCTAGTTCAGTGTTTCTAACTGAATCTAATCCTTTGTGGACTGTAGACTCGGGAGCCACATACCATGTAGCGAAGGACAGAGAAGCTTTCGTGGAGTTCCGATGAGTTCCACAAGGAACGAAGTGGATATACGTGGGGAACAATTCAAGAGTGGAGGTCAGAGGCATTGGCACCTGTCAACTACTTATGCGCGGTGGATGCACATTGTTCCTACATGATGTGCTATTTGCTCCAGAGATTCGTCGGAACTTAGTTTCGGTGTTGGTTTTAGTTAGACTTGGTTTTAATGTAAACTTCCATAACAATGGTGTAGACTTGTGTTTAAGTACAAGTTATTCTGGTTCCGGATATTTCTTAGATGGTTTCATTGTATTAGATGTTGACTATTGTGAAGTTAATGTTAGTTATTCCTTATTTACATCATCTGATTCTTATGAGAATGATGTGAACGTGTGGCATGCTAGACTTTGTCATATTGGCCAACAAAGAATGAATAGATTGGCTAAAGATGGCTTATTGGGCAACATTAAAAAGGTTGATTTGCCCATATGTGAGCATTGCCTAGAAGGAAAAACAACACAGAAACCATTTGAAAAAGGAACAAGAGCTGAATTTCCTTTGTAATTAATCCATACTGACATCTGTGGTCCAATGAATATAAAAGAAAGGCACGAGTCTGTTTATTTCATCACATTCATTGATGATTATACTCGATTCGGACATGTCGATTTGATTTCTCATAAGTCCGAAGCTTTAAATTGCTTTAAAAGATTTATGAGCTTAGTGGAAAATCAATTAGACAAGAAAATAAAAGTATTAAGATCCGATCGAGGTCGAGAATATCTGTCTGATCAGTTCAGAAATTTATGTGATGAAAAGGGAATAGAAAGACAACTGACTATTCCATATACTCCTCAACAAAATGGTGTTGCGGAAAGGAGAAACAGAACCTTAATGGAAATGGTTAGATCAATGATGGCACAAGCTAACTTGCCCATCACCTTTTGGGGTGATACTTTGTTGACTGCTGCCTACATTCTTAACCGTGTGCCTTCTAAATCAGTTGCTTCTACTCCATATGAGTTATGGACAGGCAAAAAGCCTGATTTAAGCTTTCTAAAACCTTGGGGTTGTGCTGCCTATACTCGTGAGTCTTCTTACAAGTATGGAAAATTAGGCCCAAGAGGCAAAAATAGTATTTTTATAAGATACTCAGAGCATTCAAAAGGATATGTATTCATAGGTGAGCAAGAAAGCGGAAGTATAACTGAATTTGAATCACGGGATGTCACATTCTTAGAGAATGAATTTCCTAAAAAGGGTGAAGTAGGTGGTGATTACTTACTATACGAATCTGTGGATCGTGATAGTGAAGTTAGTGGGAGTATTGTGACAAATGGAGAGTTGAATGCAACCCAGTCTCAATTGCAACCACTTTAAGAGACGACACCACCATTATCTCATTCGAGTGGGAGCGCAATGGAACGTGGTGAATCATCTGGAGTACAGCATTCCATACAACAGTCAAGTCGTAATAGGATTCCCCGTCGACGTTTTGACATTGAAGGAGAAGCTTTCATGATCACCCCACAAGATGAAGATGAGCCGAAGAATGTGAACAATACTCTAAAGTGCCCTGATAAGGAAGAATGGATACATGCAATGGAAGAGGAAATTGAGTCATTAAGATCAAACCAAGTTTGGGAATTGGTTGACCTTCCAAAAGGACGCAAAGCCATTGGGAACAAGTGGGTTCTCAAAATAAAGCATAAGGCTGATGGCTCAATAGAGAGGTATAAGGCTCGCCTTGTGGCGAAAGGATATAATCAACAGGAAGGAGTTGACTTTGAAGAAACTTTTTCTCCTG